TTTTTTTTTTTTTAATTAATTCCCACGTCTGGCAACAAAATTTATTCTACAAGGGATAAAGTCAAGCAGCCACGTTGGGAGGGGGAGGATCCCGGCCATTGCCTTTCTCAGCAGTGTATCAGATTTGCAGGGCTGGTGAAAGCCCTGCAGTGCAGGATGAGTTGGGACCCTAAAATAATAATAATAATAAAAAAACAGATAGAAAATCACTCAGGAGCAAAGCTGGGTGGAAAAGGGGTTTTTTACTTGTTTTGGTTCTTTGGCCATTTCAAAATTTCAGAAGGAGAACCAAAGCCTTTTTTGAGTATTGTACCTTCAGTTACTTGAAAAGGTGAAGGAAAATTTTTTGAAGGATCAGAAATGTTTCCATCCTGAGCTTTTATTAAACCCTTGCTCTGCGAAAATAAACCACGTGGGAATTTTGAAATGAAAAATTCATTTTGAACCAAAGAGTCAGAATTCACTGCCGCTGACCGTTCTGAAATGTCTGGATTTGTGTCCTTAATTCCCCCTAATTCCTATATATATTTTGATGACAAAAATTTACAAAACACTTGAGTGTCCCCAAATCTGCAATGTCGACGGGAAAAAAATTGGGTGTGCAAATATCTCTGCTGCTTGTCTCAAAGGATCTTTGTGGAAAGGAAGTCCACCAAAGATGCCTTGCAGATGAGATTGTCTAATTGCAAGCAAGTAGAAATACTATTTCTTCACCATTTTGTTGGTTCAAAAGATGAGGCGGACACATATCATGGGGTGCTCCAAGCCGAAGGTTGCCCATGGTGGCCACCAGGTCTGGGGGCCTCCCCAGCATCCCTGCAGACCCTGGCCTGGCCACCCCAATCTAATATTTCTTTTGACGCCAAAAAAGTGGCAGCTTGGCTGGAATCACCCCGTCAGCCTCCCTCAGCCCCTAAAACCATGAGCTGCTCTCGAGAATAAAGGCTTTTGATGGTCATCTGCCTCTGAGGGCTCCTCTCGGACATGGTGGGACCCCAGTTTCACCACCAGCTGAGATGGCTTGCAGCAGGTGCCCTGGGAAACTGGTTTTACACAAAACCAGCTCTCAAAAATGTAAATGTTACAAATTAGGGCTTTTTCTTTCTCTTTTTACTGTGACCTTTCAACGTCAGCAGAATCAAAGGGAACAAGAGGACCGCGGGTTCATTAATATTTTGGTTTGCCCATTGATGGTGCCGCTCTGAAGCGGTGGCTGGATGAGGGTGTCCCCACCACAGCATGGTGGGGGAACACAAGGGGTCCAGGATCAACACCCCCCCCATGAGGGCATGAAGGCCTTCTGCTCTGAGAACATCCATTGCAGAACGATCTCAAGGAACTGCCCAACGCTCGCTTCCTCCTCCAAAAAGAAATCCACAAAGACTCCGCGTGCAACAAGTCAATGGAGGGGCAAAAAAAAAAAAAAAC